ACAAAAGCGTAACCATTTACCATATATATGCGGTACTTGATCAATCACGGACATTTCTATTCTATCTCTTTGGTTCTTTAGTTTTGTAGCTTTGTTTGATTTTCGTTTGAATTTGTTGTCGATGATTGTTTGTTAAATTTTGGTTGTGTTTCATTATTTCAATTTTCTCGTAGAAAAAGTATTGTACATGTTAATTTTTTTTATAATACTAACTGATGGGTCGAACAAGTTGTGGGCCTGGTGATAAGCGACACGCCTGTCCATAACAGTTGCAGTGCTACTCAGAACTTTAAATCGCAAAGATCTGAGGGGCATTGCCACTGTGCCCGTCACCCTGAGACATAAATTGACAAGTTCCATGTGATTTCACCAGCAAACCGGAAATTTATTCATAGTCTATACAAAATCGAATAATAAGGTGGAATAAATATTAATTGTAATCCATTAAAACTCTTCTGCCTATCACAGTACAGCGTGACACTGTTAAAACCGTCGTCTACCATAATTAATACATCGGTAATTCAATTTCGTAAATTTTACACGAGAATTTTCTACAACTTTTAAACTCGGACGGGCAGGAAAGTTTGTTTCGCTATTTCGAATTCTTGAGTTATGAAGTCGGAGCCTCTGAAGCTCCGAGTTATGTGAATTAATTTGTGAGACACGATGCAGGTCTTTAATTATAAAATAGTTTCAGACTTTCCTACTCCTTCAACTGTTTATTACGAAATGGCTGACCTAGTCAAACTATTTTCAACCGTAAGCCCACAATAGAGAAAGTTTTTATTAACTTTGGTGAAATTACAGGCACATGGCACTTGTCAACTTATGTCTCAGAATGACGGACGCAGTCGTAGTGCCCCTCAAATCTTTGCAATTTAAAGCTCTGAGTGGCACTGTAACTGTTATGGGCAGGCGTGTAGCTTACCAAGGTGTCTGGGCGAACAATGGTCGTCACGTCACTTGATGTTATATAAAAAATCGACCTCAAAATGCCTCAAAATTACATCTAAATGTATGCTAAATTTTATTGAAATCGGTTACCGGCACAGACATACGAGTATATATAGATATATGTATATACTGTGGTTACCGGAACGTGCGCGAAACTGGATTCATCCCCTAGTTTGTCACTCTTAGAGGTGGACGTCAAATATTAATGGGACCAATATTGAGGTACCCTCTTCGCAACAAAAAAAGAATCATCAAAATTGGTTCACAAATGAGTTATCGCGTAACATACATACATACATACTTCTCCTTTTTTGAAGTCGGTTAAAAACAAAATATTATATTGGTCCATATTGCAAATAGTTTCTGCTGAAATGGCCCTGACTGAGCTTGATCTTCTCAGGGAGGTCAGCGTAGTGAACGAGCAGTAGCTTAAATGTGACGATTTCAAGTGTAAATTTATTTTACCTATGGAATAAATAATCTTTGACTTTGACTTAAACACTATAGATCGTAAAAAGTCAAACATCGTTGGTTTTGTATCAGAATCATATGACGAGCGAATGCAAACAGTAACCCATGCCACCAAAGTGCATTAGACGCAAATACATTTTATATAACTCTAAAATTATATCATTAATCTTGTCTTTAAAAAAGAATCGAGCCCAGCAGTGTGGCGTGTAATAGGTTTATTATATGGGCAAATTAAAGAAACCAGTATGTATCCCAGGATTGCTTGTCAGAATTGATTGATTATTGCGAGAACTATACTGGCCTGCTAAGCCGAAAGGCGCTATCTCTGAGATTTTAGTTTTTTTATACCATTCAATAGCTATAATAATTTCGCATCTAATGGTATAATAGAAATAGCGCTATCTAACTGGAAACATTTAAAAAACCACGAAGTGTTTTTATATCTCAATTTTTGAAACCTTTCTTTATAATCAAAATAGCGGTATCTCACAAAATAGGTATAATGGTACAATTTATGGATTATTTAGGTATGTCAATAAATTTATCAGTCAAAAATACGTGTAAATAAGTTTTAACATTTTCAAAAAGATTTATTTTTGAAGGAGCGAAAATATATGTATGTACAAAAAGTCGATTTTCTCAAAACTTACTCCGATTGAGATAGCGCTTTTCGGCTTATCAGGGCAGTATAATGCGCACTCAATAACGAAGTGATGGATTCGAAGAGTAATAAAACATATTAAATACGATAAGTTACCTGTTACAGGTATAGTGAATGGTATTATATTTATGGCTTTAAAAAAATAATTGAAAAGTCTATAACTTTACAATTACTAATGCAAAGATCGAAGACTCAGAAAAAATTCTTTTGATCCGGCTGGATTCGAACCGACGTCTTCTAGCATACCGGGCCAGACACCACACCACCAGCGGACCTCACGAATCTTTCTATGTGCTTGTTGTCGTGTCCTTGTATTTGATTTTCCAACGACTTCTCTCGATCTATGAGAAACCTGTGAAAGTTTTACCACCCAGTTAGATATCTTTACAGCTACCAGGCTTGGCAAGAGATGTCGCTATTCACTGTATTTTAAAGTTTTATTGAATATGATATTCAATTAATTTTTGTAAAATTACTCCACTAGTTTGTTACAATTATTAATACAAAGATCGAACACTCAGAAAATAATCAAATAATTAATAATAAATAATTACTGTCGGTAAATTAGTCAGACTAGCTATTCAAAATTAGAAACAGAATTCAATTTCATTATATTCTAACTCATATTAATAATATTTTTATTGGAAGTGTGTAAAAAAGCATATCGTAATCTGGGATTGGTGTTACGTCTGGCAAATAAATTCACGAATATAAGCGCTCTGAGAGCATTATACGAGGCCATAGTAAAAAGTCATCTCGAATGCAACGCTGTAATTTGGTCGCCACACGAAGCCAAATACAAATTAATGATAGAACGCATCCAGAACAAGTTCGTTAGGTACCTATATTTAAAACAGTATGGTGAGTACCCAGGTTATCCACTGTTATATCCTACCGTATTTGTACTCGGCATGTTAGGCTATTATAGACTGGAAGTAAGAATAGAAGTACCTCTCGCCACTTACTTATTGAAAGTACTGCGTGGTAAGATACACAACCCATGTGTTCTAAACACAGTTCAGCTGTATGTACCTGACGGGTACGTAGGGCGACGCCGGCGGCCGCCGCTGATGTGGGTGCAGCGCGCGCGCACCAATCTGCTGCACAACGCGCCCCATATGCGGGCGCTGCGTGCCCTCAACGCGGTATCACACGACATTGATTTGTTCGATTGTACTCTGAATGAATTCGCACAGGCCGTATATTGTAGAATATCAATGGAAGTTTGTTATAGTTAACATGTACGTAAATATTTTGTTAGTAACTACACTATCGTATTAGGTTATACCTGTAATGATAGTTGTAAGAGGTAAAAATAAATAAAAAAAAAATAAAAAAACCAAACTCAAAACTTTGTGGAATACCATCTATTTGAAATGGGCTAACGGAAAGTGAATGAAATCCAATTAGCTGTAGTCATCCCCAATTTAATTTGAAATTTATCATGAGCTTTTCGGTGAAATAAAACATCGTGTTGAAACCTGCACATTGAAGGTTTACAACCCTCGGAAAACGTGTGAAGTCCCCAACTCGTCTTAAAGGAGACCCGTGCCCAGCAGTGGGACGTATAAATGTGTTAATGATGATTAGAGATGCGTCGAGTACAAGTTTTACCGAGTAACCGAGTACCGAATTTATTACCTGACTATTACCTGAACGCGCAGAAAGCTGATGGATGATCTTTAAATATCAAACATATAAGAATTATTCTATTTAATCTGCCGCCAAAAGTGCCGCCAAGCAGTAATGTGAGCATTACAGCGTTCCGATTTAGAAGGGTCAGGATGCTGATAAAATTACAGGCATATGGGACTTGTCAACCTACATATGTGTCAGGATGACGGGCGCAGTGGTAGTGCCCATAAGACCTTTGCGATTTAAAGCGCTGCAACTGTTATGGATAGGCGTGTCGCTTACGGCCAGGCGCACGACTTGTTCGTCCCATCATTTGGTAACATAAAAAAAAAGTGCGCTATATCGATGGTACGCTACATCGGAAGTTCGCTACATCTGTGGTAGGTACTGTACATTATATCGATCATACATCGATCAATGGTATACTACGTACAGTATATCAATTACACAAATACACAATAAAAACGCCTCCAAAATGAACAAATTCACAATACAGCATATTGTTTGTGAAAGGAGAAGTACTGTCGCCGCAACGACCAATGCTTTTCGTTACAAAGACCATCGATGTTGCGACTTTCGATACTGTGAATCAAACATGCTTGCGGGTGGGTGAGATACGACGCCGCAGACTTATAATTTCCCTCTTTTTGAGTCGCGGGTTAAAAACAATATACAAGGAACATTTGTCAGTAACCTTAAGAAAATCCTTTGAACGTTGAGGCATAAATTTAAACTGATGTTGGTAAACAGCCACAAATTATATGTAATCCTGACAAATACGCACCTTGATCCTAATTGAGGGTAATCTTGACAAATCATTTAGTATAAGCCGAGTGAGATGGATGAAAATAATCAAGATAATATAATATTTTAGCCAATAGTGGTAAAGCTAAGTAAATTGACTCTCCATTTAGAGTTGTAACGAATGTTAGTATTCGTTAATCGGCCTATTTGGGCTATTATATTATAACTAAAAACATGATTAGAAATAATAAAAAATAGTAAAATTATCAAGTAATATTAAAAATAGGTTGTGTTTTCCATCCTTCAATTCCGGTTTTTATTCACTCTCTCACTGTTGTTGCGGTCAGACTTTGGAACGCACATCCCGCGATGTGCACGAAAGTAAATGAGAGTCAAGAAGCACCAGTTATCCACTGTTCCATCCATTTATTAATTGAATATATTTATATTAATAGAAAAAAAATTAGCGCGCTATGTTTTTTCATGGTTTTTTTTTCAAAAATCACTAAACAGTAACGTTGTTGTTTCTGTACAGTGCGCGCGGAGCCGACGGAGGTCGCAAGCCGAGCCTCACTCGCTGAACCCGCGCCCACTAAGCTTCCAAGTATGTCTCTCTTATACTCAGCCAAACACGTAAATACAGGGATATTTTTAATTAATCCAACATAAAAGTACGGTTCACAAAAAAATTGGCTTTAAACTTAAAAAAACTACGACTTTTAGCGTGAAAAAAATTACGTCGGGACTCTAGCGATTTATAAGCAGTTCGTTTATGTTGAATAATTAAAAACGTGTATCACGTTTGTATAGTGACTCTATCGCTGCAAAGGGGACCACGGACCGAAACCTACCCGGGCGGGATCATAACATAGGATTAGATTAGATAAAAACCGCCGACACCAAGCTGCGTCGCCGGGTTGGCGGGTTCGGTCTGTAGGTCGCGCGTGAATCGCTGCAGACGCGCTATTAAAATTCGTCGTGTGCAATCGCTCTTAATGATGAAAGTACCCAATAGAAACGAGGTTTAGGGTTGATTAAAACTAGCCCTGTAACTAACTATAAGATTGTTGTTCTCCTTTAAATTATAGAGTCCTGATTTTAAACTGTATGATGACCAAAAATTAAACAAATTGAATGAACAGCGCAGAAATAATCAAGTAGAAAATGAACACGGCTTCTTTCAAGGAAAATATCAATCTTATACTGTGACACCTACATAATATCTTCTTTAGTTAACAATCCCTCGCTACAATAAGATCTCTCCGAACTTTTCACGAAATAAACGAATACAATACTAAGAAAACAAGAATTTATTTGATTCGACGCGACGCCAACGCCTTCGGGAAAGTCACAAACCGAAAAGTTCGAAGTTGGAAATTGTTTTACTTATATGTGCTTACGTACTTTATATATGGTTTTTTAACTGATCACGATAAAATATCTTTAGATCGCACTCTTCATGTAATAAGGCCATATCTGCAAAATTATAACTTTTCAAGAAGGTTTTCAATATTCTACGAACGTAATTCTGCCGCCGTTAGTTGAAAGGGAGGAGGGACTTAGGAGAAAATAATGTTTAAAGAAATTAAATTAATAATTGTAACTTTTTCATTGGAAAAAAAACACTGACCTCAAAAGTTTGCTTACTGGCTTTTTTCTATTTCCATGGGATCCCCTGATCAGATTCTGACTTCTTGGTGATGGGGAGTCCCATTGTCACCAAGAAGTCCCATAACGGGACTGTTACGGACTCCTTCGTACATTTTATATATTTTTTGTACTTACTGCCTCCGTGGCCGAACGGTTACCATGCCTGCTACAAGAGGTCCCAGGTTCGATTCCCGGGCCGGGAGAAATATTTGTATGGCCTACATTTATTTCTCTCGTGAGTTCGGGTGTAATTTGTGGTTGTCTATGTGTGTGTCCATGGCATCCGCGACACAGGGTTTCCCTAGTGCGGGGCTATGTTGAGTGTGTGCGTTATTATTATTATTTTCTGGTTGTCATGGTGACTGTGAGTTATTGATTACATGCATTGTGTCAAGTGAAAAGTCGACTCTTATTTGCGAAAAATAATGAGTAATTTGTGATAGCCGAAACGAACCCGGAACAGCTTCGTCGGCATCAGGGACCATCTCGAGAGTACACCCTTTGAAACAATAAAAAGAATTTTCAAAATTGGTCCACAATTGATGGAGAAATCGGAAAACACATAAAACATACATACAGCCGAATGTATAATCTTCTCCTTTTTTGAAGTTGGTTAAAATTATCTTCTTTTCTCTTGCGGTAACTTCACACCTTATTCACCTACGAAAAGATAGAAATAGTGACAGTACGGCCTTTTTTACTGATCACGGCAGAGTACATGACAAATTTTATGAAAAAAATGTCACAAAAAGTTTCAGCTAACAGCGCAGAATTAATCGATAACTTTTTATGTTTAAATAGGAGAGTTACAAACTTTCACTTATACCTACATAATTTGTTTCTTGTTTATTCAATGACGTTTGACATGCCTGTTATCTACCCAGGATGCTGCGAGAGACCGTTGAAATTTAAAAAAAAAATTAATTTCAACAGGGAAGATGGTTTCTCCGTACCACCAGTTTCCTCTGATGAAAAATCCCATAAAAAAAGTTTTGTGTAAATTGCCTTTTATCTTGTTGACGGTACCATTTTTTGAAAATCTGTGAATGCCAATCAAAATATCTTCAAAATTCAGGGATAGTCTTCTAGAACCGTTTTCCTGTAACTACAACGATTAAGGTAGCTAGCCTTGCTGCCCCGTCTCAAATTTCCACCATGTATATAAAGCGTTGTGAAAGACCGGAGCCTAAACTAGGAAAGTCCTGTATCTTAGGACTCCTGGTCTAAAGAGAAATGATGTTGGGATGCAATAGCCCGTTAACTTCGTTTGCTCCACTAGTGACGCAAGCTCTTAGGAGGCGTCGCGAGAGGCACTTGTCGCCCCTTAAGTCCCTGTCGTCACAGGTAAAGCCGGCACTGACCAAATGTGACTTTATTACATCCATCGAGTATATAACCAAAAATAGAGACAAAATGTCATTTCATTTGTTTGAAAACTATTCTACCAAATCATTACGGTGACAACTGCGCTCCGATTGGCCAACCCGAATTCGAAACAATTGACGGGTGTTGCCATTGTTTCACTTCAAATCAACCAGTTCAACTTGAGCTTTGCTATAATGGACGAAAATTGATAAATTACTTACTTAATATTTAATTACCGATGACATGTTATTCCGTTTGTTTTGTAATTCGATGTTTTGCTGTTTTTCCCACACCACCGAATAGAACAGCCCCTCATAGTTAGAGATATTATCTTGATTACAATAAATATTTTTGGTATATATTGAGACGTACATACAGGTCAGTTGTTGGCGCTGTACTATGTCAGCTTTCCAATTTGTGGTTTTGGTGCAAACGAGAGTTGATATTTGAAAGTGATATAAGGCCTATTTGTCTGATAAGTTGCCGGGGATGGATTATTTTGCGACTAATTCTGGTTAATACTCGAAGATTATACCAAAGTTACGAGATAACTACACATTTTTGAATTTTAACCTCTCAAAACTGTGACTATTACAAGTAATCCTGCTAGGAAAATTAATAATAATAGTAATAATAGTAAAACATTTATTCATAAGCATATTTACAAAAAACAGGTTAACAGTTAACAGGTCAAGTTAATATGAAAAGGATGGAGCACTACATGCTGCTTTTCAGGTTCCACCTTCATACAAGGACATGCGCTGCTCGTAATCTTCAAATTTCACAAGAATTATACATTTTAAAT